AGTTGAAAGAGAGCAGATTGAGTGCCAAGCAGTTTGAAATCTGAGCTGCGAGTTGATGTGCCTCTGCAACATGTCCAGGGCCAAGTCCATCATAGTAGATCCAGCTGATATGGTTCTGCCTAATCTGACCAACCAGTAAGATCCAGCGATGGTCTACCGGAGCAATGGTGATCACAAGGGGGTCATTGTGGTGGAAGTTGCCCAGGATGGTGAAGTCCTGAGGCTGGAGTTGGTAGTGGAACGAAAGAGTGTAGAGCGTGATGATCGGGTCCAAAAAGAAAACTGAGCGGCAGGGATCAAGGTGTTGGTAGAGCTTGAGGAAGTTGACCCGTATGTGGGCGTCGGAGAGACCGAAGGTGTTCTGGTCTGAGGGCCCGTTGGCAGTGATGAGGGTGATGGTAATGTAGGTGCCGGATTGTCAGAGGCGTGTATCTCCTCCGTGGATGACACCCCGATCGTCCAGAACGAAGTTCACGCCTTGGATGTCGCAGTTCCTGATGGCTTCAAAAAGGAAGTGGCCTGGGAGGATAGCAGGTGTGTTCGAAGTGCTGCAACGTGACGTAGATGGTTTGCTCGGGTTCGGGTGGATTGATTCTCTGCTTCTTGGCGATCGAGGTGGTCTTGTAGAGTACATCAGACCTGAGCTGGTTGTGCAGAGGGGTTGGAGTGAGTTGAGGTCGCTCAGATTGGTTGGATTCCCATAGGAACTGCCTGCATCCCCATTCATTGCTAATGCGCTTCTTGTGGGAGAAGAGCGGTGGTGCCGTAGGAGTCCGTGTCCTGCTGGTCGTCCGTGATGTGCTGGATGATGTTGATGGGGCGAGGAACACGGATCTGCCACTGTCGAAGCAGATGGGCTTGGAACATTCGAACTGCTTGCTGTGAGAGGATGTAGAACCGGTTGAAATGACATGTGCGCAGTTGAAAAGCATTGTGGCATAGACGTATACCATCTGCATCGGGGAGGTGATAAGGCCAAGAAGGCATAGGTTCTCCCTGGGCTTGTGCGTGTAGACGATGTTGTCTGGGACTCCAAGAAGTAGAGCAGCTTCCCGGTGGTGAAGGAATCGTGGGTGATCTCCCTCCTCAGCTTGGATGAAGAAACCTCTGAGTCCTTTGCCTCGCAGATTAGCTTCCGAAAAAGCTTGGAGGCGGCAATGGCAGGGACATGATGAGGTCCCGTTGGCGCACGAGTGCAGCAGGGCAGCTGCAATGTCGCCTTCTTCCAGCTTGCGTTTGTCCTTGCCGTAGACGGGGTCCATGTATTTGCTGAGCTCAATCTGATTCAGCCGGAGATCCGCTTCCTCGTTTTCATCCCAGCTGGTGAATTTGCCGAAGATGGTGCCGACGTTGATGTATGGACTGTGGTTTGGCCATGTAGAGAAACCAACTGTTTGCCAAGAAGCTGGCATGAGAATCGCCCACCATCTCCTCCTGCGGCACGGCCACTGATGCGCCAGCTCAAGGTCGCTCTGAAGGACAACCCATCCCATAGCGGCCGCCAAACTTGTGGAACACACTCCAATATGGCGGCCTGGCACTGAGTCATGAAGATCACCCTGAGTCCGCCCCACAGTATTCGGGAGCGTGGATCCAATGTCCCTAGTCGGCGCCCCTGTTCCGAGTAGGGCTGGCAAGGAAAGCCAAAAGTTGTTGTAGGGGCAAATCCGCAAGTGCTCCGATGGATGCGAAGCGCGGCATCAGGGGCATTGATGTCCAACTTGACCTGCTTATTATTCGTGATTTGCCGAAGGTGGCCGTAGGCGAGCTCACCACACTGATCAGCGTCTGGCCCCCCAAGAAGCCGGAGCCGATGCCCATTCCACCAAATCCTGCGCAGAGTTCCATGATGTAGCGCGAAGGGTGTTCCTGATCGAAGGCGGTCCGGACTGCCCATGATTCCTCGGTGGCCGACATGACCGGTGGGTCCAGCGGGAGAACCTGAAAACCATACAGGGTGTATCGACCATCGGAAAGGCCGTCAGCTTGGATCCCAACCGCCAGTCCGTCTGGCACACGGCCGATCAAAAAGCCACCCTCCTGACGAAGGTCGAAAACCCCGTGGCCCCGTCCAGAATCCGGCCTTGGCCCTCCAATACGAGAGTCCATGGCGTGAACACGGGTGTCCCAACTAGCTGTCTCCGCCTTGGAAGGACTTCCGAAGGCTCCAAGGAGCCCTTAAAAGATGAGCGAAACCGTTTTGGGCAATTTCAATCCCCGTTGAAAGGAAAGGTTCACGGTGTGTCTCAGCTCTCCACTTTGTTTGGTGTACCTCTGGTGGTTGCTAGTTGTTTTGGTTGGTTTGGTTGGTTTCGTGGGTTTGCGGTCTTTGTTGGTTCTTTTGTTTGCTGGGGGTGGGTTCTGTTTTGGCGTTTCCGCAAAAATGGGGGGGGCTGCTACCAAACACTCAAGGATCCCACACACACACACACCCCTTCAGGCCCCTTTGTCTAGGTCTACTTCTGGTGTTCGGAGCTGTTTGAGTTGGGTAGATTGGGCTGGTGGGTTGGGTGTGGGGGAATTGGTTTCTTTGGCCCCTGTGGCTTCAGCCCAGGCCCAAATTGAGAAGTTACCTTTGATCCTGAATACGCAGGGGTCTCCCTTAATTACCCCAAAGGCGTCCACGTAGATGTTGCGGGGTTGTGGGGACTTGATGGGGAGGCTCCCTATCACAGGAGAGAACACCATCCCGTGGGTCCAAAAGGGTTAAACCAAGACTTCTAGGCCAAACGGATCCGACCTGTTTGCTGGTTGAAAGGGCAAATCAGGGCAACAAGTTATAAAGGAAGGCTATAGCAATGACTTGGAATCCCCTGTCGCTGGGACATCGTAGGAGTTTAAACCGTTTATCCAGGGAACTTGCCAGGAAGCCAACCCAAGTCGGCCGACTGTGTTGCCATGATCTTGTTCAGAGTTTATGCAATGCTCCCTCTTGAAATGATGTCAAAGGGAACAAATAATTTCCCAACCCCTGAGACATCAGCTCAGCAAAACACTCTATTGCTTGGGGCTGTGCACAGACTCTACCCCCGTTTAGCACGGGGTCTACAAAAATCAAAACACACCATCCTTTCCGTTAAGAGGAAACTAACGACGCAGCTTTCAGCATTATTGTTCGATGGGTTGTACGCTTGTGGTCCTTGTGGTCTGCCACGGGCACCTACCCTGGAACACACTGTAGAAACACAATGAAACACATTCCTTGCAACGTGAGGCCTATGAAAACATCGTGATGTAAGCGCCCTTTGTTTTGTTCGTTCATCTAGAACGTCCATAGCGCAAGCCCACGATAGCCCAAGCTTAATGCGCCGCTGATTCATTGATGTACACGGTTGTTTACCTGGGCCAAAACCCCTTAGTCTAGGGGTCTATGATACGCGCGTGTGGTGTGTGTGTGTGTGTGTGTGTGTGTGTGTGTGTGTGTGTGTGTGTGTGTGTGTGTGTGTGTGTGTGTGTGTGTGTGTGTGTGTGTGTGTGTGTGTGTGTGTGTGTGTGTGTGTGTGTGTGTGTGTGTGTGTGTGTGTGTGTGTGTGTGTGTGTGTGTGTGTGTGTGTGTGTGTGTGTGTGTGTGTGTGTGTGTGTGTGTGTGTGTGTGTGTGTGTGTGTGTGTGTGTGTGTGTGTGTGTGTGTGTGTGTGTGTGTGTGTGTGTGTGTGTGTGTGTGTGTGTGTGTGTGTGTGTGTGTGTGTGTGTGTGTGTGTGTGTGTGTGTGTGTGTGTGTGTGTGTGTGTGTGTGTGTGTGTGTGTGTGTGTGTGTGTGTGTGTGTGTGTGTGTGTGTGTGTGTGTGTGTGTGTGTGTGTGTGTGTGTGTGTGTTGTGTGTGTGTGTGTGTGTGTTTGTGTTTGTGTTTGTGTTTGTGTTTGTGTTTGTGTTTGTGTTTGTGTTTGTGTGTGTGTGTGTGCGTGTGCGTGTCTGTGTCTCTCTGTGTGCGTGTCTGTGTCTCTCTCTGTGTGTGTTTGTGTGTCTGTGTCTCTCTGTGTGTGTGTGTGTCTGTGTGTCTGTGTGTCTATGTGTCTGTGTGTCTGTGTGTCTGTTTCTGTGCTTGTGTCTGTGTGTGTGTGCGTGTGTCTGTGCGTGTGTGTCTGTCTGTCTGCCCGTGTCTGTGTGTGTGTGTGTCTGTCTGTGTCAGTGTTTGTGTGTGTGCCCTTGTGTCTCTGTGTGTGCGTGTCTGTGTCTGTTTGCGTGTCTGGGTCTGTGTCTCTCTGTGTGTGTCTGTCTGTGTGTGTGTGTGTGTCTCTGTGTGTGTTTGTTGGTTGCTCGTGTGTTCATTCACACTATGATAGGCGCAGTTCCACAAGACATCGCCGAAAAGGGAGGTCAAGAGGCAACCGAAAAAGTTTGAAGTGCAACCAGTTGTTTCGCAGGTCACTAACGCCGCCTGGTGTTTGCCACTAGGGCCGAGAGGGCAATACAAGACCGAACACGACGTTATTTCCCCCAGCCCCGGGAAGTTGCTCCCTTGACTCAAATTCATACAAAAGGAAAGTGGGGCAGGCATTGGCAAAACATGGGCACATTTGCAGGTCACTAACGCCGCCTGGTGTTTGCCACTAGGGCCGAGAGGGCAATACAAGACCGAACACGACGTTATTTCCCCCAGCCCCGGGAAGTTGCTCCCTTGACTCAAATTCATACAAAAGGAAAGTGGGGCAGGCATTGGCAAAACATGGGCACATTTGCAGGTCGACCCACCCCACTGAGTCGATTGGCCCATAGAAGTGTGAACTTGTTGTTGGATAAAGATATTAAAAGTCAAGAACTAAGGAAATGAGGACATCCTCACCTGAGCAACAATGACATTTTTGGAAATGGGGCAGGGTTTGGCACATTTTGAGTCAGCCATGGGAAAAAAGGCACTCGTGCTTGGTCGTTAATTTCAATTGACCCCAACCCCTCCAAAAAAAGAGACAAAAGCACCGCTGGAGGTCTGGGGTGAACTCACCCCTATGGCGTGGCATTCCCGGAGCCGCCGGATCGAAACGCGCTTCCCAGCCAGGCGGCGGCTCCGGAATCAAGCTGCAATCCCTGCGTCTGAACGGGGGCCCCAAACCTAGTGACTTCGGGTTCGAAACCTAAAATGTTTCGAGTGGTTTATATGGTGTGTCTTTTTTGAGGCTCGATTCCCTTTTTGGATTGTTTCAAAGGGAAACCCAAAGGAGCCCCTCCGCCCCATAAGCACCCTACTCAAATCGCCAAGATGGCAAACATGGAAGGGGGTCGAAACCCAACATGAGTAGGTTCCACTTCCAAATGGACCATAGACAGCACGCTTGGACCAAACCTCATGTTGTACTGGTACTGTCATTCCCGCAGCATGGACCTTCTCTGATGCGATTCTTTGCTTCCGGGGGCTTGAAGACAAATCCCGGGGGCAGTTGTAAGCCTTCTCCCTTGGCTCAATGGGCCCCTAGCTGCGGGCTGGCGGGAGCTCCCTGAATCCTGGCTAAGCATGACCTACCACGTCAAGGAAGCTCACTCAAAAAACTTGCAAGCAAACGGTGATGTTTCAAGCCACCCTTCCACGGTTGGTCTCAGTTACGGTGCCCGGTGCGAAAAGTGAAGCTTGTTGCTGATAAGGGGCAACTAATACTTTCCAACAAGTGTTGAACGCATTTAAGGGTTAAAGGTCAAATCAAAGAGCAACCGAGTTTTTATCATAACCTTCCAAGCCCACTCTACCCCCCCTCTCCCCCTGTCCCTGCTTCCCCAAATTTGGACACTGAGGGGTTGCCAACGGCCGAAAACTGACAGAGGAAACGGACCCCAAAAATGCGTGGTTTCCCTTTAAAAATTGGCTTCTCTTTAAGTACAAACCAAAAAAAGTGTGCGAAATCCATTTTGAGAAACTCAATATCCCGAAATCTGTGATACCAAAGGTTGATTCCCAGCCCCGGGGAGTCCATATACTAGTGGTTTTGTTGAGCCCTCATCTGGACGCCAGGCCACTCACTGCCCCCCGGCTCGGACATCTTGGCGAGACGGGTGCGGAGAGATTCCATCTCACCCACCTGAGCTGCGACCCGAAATCCCGCTGACTTTGGACTCTACCAAGATGGGCGTGTCTATTTTGTAAGGGAAGCCCTTGCTTGGTCTTTGACAACGGACACCAACAATTTTCGCCCCCCCCCCCATTGTGAGACAAACCCGAATGGAAAAGTCTCGTTGGGCAAGCAGCATGCTTCTGCTATGGTATAGCCATTGACCCTGCGGATAACCCAGTTCCAGTGACCCTGCTTGACAGAACTGTTTTTCAGCTTCCTTCCAATTGGTAGTTTCGATTGGTGGTTTGGTGGTTAAGGGTGGTGCCCCATTTGCCCGCAACAAGAACCAGGGGTTCAAATCCGCGAAAAAAACTAATCCACCAATGAGGAGTTTCCTGAGTTTTGGGGTTCACCATGTTTAGTGACTAAGGCATGCCACCAAACAAGTTGGGTGAGGTTCGGTGAAATCCACAGAACCAAGCAAAAATTGCAGGAAACGCCCCAGCCCCCCTCGGTCAACCTGCCTTCTTTTTCAGAAGCTCGTTCGCTCGCTCCACTTTGGCGAGCTTGGTCTGCATGCAGCAGGTAGAAGGCTCGGGCCGTGCGCATGAAACGCTCGATTCTGGGCAAATTACATTTGAATCCGAGGCGAATTTCTTTGGATTGGCTTCCACAGGGCGTTCGTTTTTTGCCATGCACAAAAAAAAGCTCGCTCCCCGAGTTTTCGCTGACCTTCATCCCGGGCTTTCGCTCGCCTTACCAGGTGATCTCGTTCTAACTTGCCATGGACCAACCCCCTCGCCACGTCCATCAGGAAAGAGGAAACAATATGAACCGCGAGGCTTATCCTTATGAAGACCTTTCCCAGCAACCCGGTTGGATTGCTACAGTTGAACAAGTTTTGCCCTGGGCGCAGACCCCGCCCATCCTTGAAGGCCTACCTCTGGAACGCGGTCGGCTTGCAGCCTTCTTTGCGACGGACTTATTGCACAATGTTCATTTGGGAGTGGCGAAACACTGGATAGCGAGCAGTTTGATTTCACTAGTCGAGCGGCTTGGCATCATCCCTGGGGGAACGGTTGACATGAAGTTATCCTGGTTGTCTCGTGACTTCAAATCATTTTGCAAGGCGAAACGCATGAGTGCACACAGCTATGAGATCAGCAGGAAAACCTTATCCTTCCCATCCTCGAAACATTGCCCAGAAGGTCAGTGGAGCAAAGGATCCATGTCGACCCAGTTGATGTTTTACTTGGAGGACTTGACTAAAAGGCATGCTGACCACATCTCTGAGGACGAATTGCTTCAGGCTGTGGCTACTTGGATGTTGTTGAGCTAAACATTTTGCATCGTTTTGGGAAAGCAGTCAGGGTCATTCCTTATTAGGAACAAACAAAGGAGGATCTTGACTGGAGCAGGCCGTGTGCAGTACCTGCACTGGCCACCAGGCCAAGCGCGTTTTTTCGGTAGCCCGCTTCTCAAGAAAAAGGAAGCGCCCGCCCCTGTCTGGAAACAATGCTCTCGCCACTCCCCCGCAAATTCCTGCCATAAGGATCAATGGAGTGATGCCACGCAAAACAAGCTCAGAGGCCTGGCTGATGTTGAAACCATGAAAATGCGTACCCCCTACTCCAAATATCATAGATATTATGTCAGGTGTTTAGTTGCTCCTTATCTTTGGGGCCTTTTCTCAGAAGCTGCTCCAAGGTGTTTACATTGTCTGCGCAATGGGAGTTCAGCCGGTCGCCCAACTCATCTATGACTCATTGCCCCCAAAAACATGATTGTGTCCCCGAAGATATTCTGCTCGACCAGGCCTCTGGGCGTGGTAATGCGTGCCAAAAGGCTCTCGAGTTCCTGGAGCTGCGCCGCCGCGGGTGCTGCCCCTGGCGGTGCAGCGCCCGAGTTGCGGCGCGTCTTCGGCGGCAGGTCGGCTCCTGCGGCACGTCGTGGGGCCCCAGCGCGTGCACCACCGGCATTTTTCCTTTTTCCTTTTCTTTGCACCACCGGCACGACGTCCCTCGCAGCGCTCCCAGTGGTTCCGCATGGGGCCGCCTGGTGAGCACCAGCAGCACTTCACTTTGCCCATGTGCGCCGCCAGGCCACCTGCCGCCCGTTTTTAGCGGAGGAGCGGGGCCCCGGGGAACAAAATGGCACAAGCAAATTGGCAAAAAACATCAGAAAACACAAGGTACAAAAACCTGAAAGCACTGGCACTGTTCATGGATTTCCTGGGAATAGGGTTGCAAACACCCTTGGTTTGCCATGCGTTAGCGGTTTGTTACGCAGTAGACCCAACACTTCAACAAAAAGGGTTCCCAGGTTGCGGGGGTGTGCAAAAACAATTGTAGCACCCCAGCCAGATTTCGTAGAAACAACACGCACCCACACTGGGTTGTCCTGGGTGCTGTGCACATTTTGCCATCCACCAGGTCAACCGAGAACAATGGAGGTGAACGCATCGCTTGGTGTGCTGCGCAGGCAAGGCGATGTTGACAGGCGCTGCGCGGGCAATGCTATGTTGACAAGCGCTGCGCAAGCAATACTTTGTTGAGAGGCGCCACGCAAGCAATGCCGGGCATGCATGTCTATGTTGACGGGCGCGTGTAGAAAGGATGTAAGGCTGTGGAGGTGTGTCTCAGAATGGGTTGGACCCCAGTTCCAGATTGGAATGAAAGAAGAAATCTTGGAATCATTGTCAAAGGTTCCCTATGTTGAGACATGCCAACAAGGACCGCCTCATTTCATCAGTCCCCAATCGCATGGATACCCCCTGGCCAGGCAAACAACATGGGTTACCTGAGGCTCTTTTTGTTTTTCAGCTGGAATCGCAACACCACTTGTTTGTGTGAAAACCTAAAAAACATCTTTCAAACATTGTTGGTCTTAAGCATATGTCGCTCAAACAATTTTTTTTGTTTCAAGATCCCAACTATGCTTGCATCTTTTTGCAATCTTGACATTCAAATACAGAACTCGGTCGAACTCCCACTCTCCCACTCTGCCTCATGAGGCGGAGCACCTCGAAGAGGCTGAGCCTCCCGTCATGGCCGAAATGGCCCCAAGCATTGGGCCGCTTGTGATACGATGAAAGTGGGCGAGACGCTCATGGACCCTCAAACGGAGGGCCCGACATTCAACATGCGAGGGGATGCATGAAATGTGCAAGCTTTGCACTTTCAAGGCCTTCCACGATGGAATCTCCCTGGGGCCTCGCTGATTTTCAACCTTCAGGGGCACTAGGCTCCAATACTCCGTCTTGCAAAAGCCAAAGCCAAAACAATTCGGAACAATGCCGATGTGCATAAAACAGTGCCGCGAGGAACTCCCAGAACCCGGCAGCTGGGATTGCAATCCCGGCCTTCTGATTGACGCAATTCTGCAAGTAGCCGGAGAGGCGGTGGACCAATCCTTGGCAAGCATGGCACGCGTTGAAATGCATGCTATGGCGACAGGATTATATATAGCGCCTCCAAGTAGAACCCCTTAGGCTTAGCAAGCTCGGAGTTCCAAACGACAGGACTCGCTCTCTCAGCACGAAGGCTATTCACAGGCTGTGACTTTGTGCGACCAGTACACACTGAAAAAACATGCGTCACCCGTAATCCGCCGACCCTCTGGCCAAAGCTAAGCCTATCGAATGCCAGAGGGCTCGGCGTGGTATGCAAGATGAAGGCTTGAAAGCTTGTTCTTAGCCAAGCTTGTTTGTCTCGGGGGATCCTCGTTTTTCGGATTTTGGTGAATCCCAGGACTGGTCCCGGGACTGGTCCCAGGACTAGTCCCGGGACGAGTCCTGGGACCAGTCCCGGGACCAGTCCTGGGACCGGACCAGTCCTCGGGACAGGTCCCAGGACTGGTCCCGGGACTGGTCCCAGGACAGGTCCCAGGACTGGTCCCAGGGCTGGTCCCGGGACAGTTCCGGTTGCAGGACTGGTCCCGACAGGTCCCAGGACCGGCCCAGGACTGGTCCCGGGACTGGTCCCAGGACTAGTCCCGGAACAGGTCCCAGCACTGGTCCCAGGATAGTCCGGACAGGTCCCGGAGCACTCCTGGGACCGGTCCCGGGACCAGTCCTGGGACCAGTCCTGGGGCCTGTCCTGGGGCCAGTCCTGGGACCAGCTGGGACCTGTCCCGGGACCAGTCCCGGGACCAGGGACCAGTCCTGGGACCGGTCCCGACCAGTCAAGCTGGGTCCTGGGTTTGTCTCGGGGGACCCTCAAGAGCCGCTTGAGGGTCGGCGGCAGCAGGCGGCACGACATGCCAATTCGGCCTCGCCGTGCTATTCGCCCAAAGGGGCGCATGCCAAGGCTTTGCCTTTCCGACTGACGGCTTTAGCCGCCGACATTGGAGATGCAGATGATGCGTGGTGCCTTTGGTGCATCATCACCACCCGCGCGGTCATTGGAGCTCCGAGCGGCGGGGGGCTGAAAAGGGCTCAAAACACTGTAAATATGCAGCGCGCCGGCTGCATTGCCAGCATCGCCAGCATGCTCGGCAGGCCCTGTGCGGAACGCATCGCATGCATCCCCTGCATCGTTTGGTTTTGAGGCTACCTTGCCCCAAGCCAATCGTGATGCTGCGCGCGCGCGGCGCGCGCGCGCGCGCGCTCTCGTGCGTGCGCTCGCGCGCGCGTGCGCGCGCCGCACTCTTGTTGTTGTTGTTGTTGTTGTTGTTGTTGTTGTTGTTGTTGTTGTTGTTGTTGTTGTTGTTGTGGTGGTGGTGGTGGTGGTGGTGGTGGTGGTGGGTGGTGGGTGGTGGGTGGTGGGTGGTGGGTGGTGGGTGGTGGGTGGTGGGTGGTGGGTGGTGGGTGGTGGGTGGTGGGTGGTGGGTGGTGGGTGGTGGGTGGTGGGTGGTGGGTGGTGGGTGGTGGGTGGTGTAGTGGGTGGGTGGTGGGTGGTGGGTGGTGGGTGGGTGGTGGGTGGTGGGTGGTGGGTGGTGGGTGGGTGGTGGGTGGTGGGTGGTGGGTGGTGGGTGGTGGGTGGGTGGTGGTGGGTAGTGGGTGGGTGGTGAGTGGTGGGTGGTGGGTGGTGGGTGGTGGGTGGTGGGTAGTGGGTAGTGGGTGGTGGGTGGTGGGTGGTGGGTGGTGGGTGGGCGGCGGGCGGTGGGTGGTGGGTGGTGGTGGGTGGTGGGTGGCGGGTGGCGGGTGGTGGGTGGTGGGCAGCCAGCCATCCGTCCATCCATCCAGCCAGCCAGCCAATGAGCCAGCCATCCATCCATCCGTCCATCGAGCCAGCCAACCATCCATCCATCCAGCCATCCATCCATCCAGTCAGCCACAGCCATCCATTCAACCATCCATCCATCCGGCCAGCCAGCCATCCATCCAACCAGCCATCCAGCCAGCCAGCCATCCATCCATCCCAACCAGCCATCCATCCATCCGGCCAGCCAGCCAGCCATCCAACCAGCCAGCCACTCATGCATCCAGCCAGCCAGCCAGCCGAGCCATCCATCCATTCGTCCACCCAGCCAGCCAATGAGTGAGCCAGCCAACCATCCATCCATCCAGCCAGCCAGCCATCCATCCGGTCAGCCAGATTCAACCATCCATCCATCCGGCCGGCCAGCCAGCCATCCATCCATCTGGCCAGCCAGCCATCCATTCAACCATCCATCCATCTGGCCAGCCAGCCAGCCAGCCATCCAACCAGCCATCCATCCAGCCAGCCAGTGTGCCGGCCAGCCAGCCAGCCAGCCATCCAACCAGCCAGCCATCCATCTTCGCCATGCATGTCATGCATCATGGGCCTGTCCCGCGAGGCCGACGCGCGGAGCAAGAAAGTAACAGTTGGAGAGCCAAATGCATGACAAGAACTGACCTGCTTAGTTTACGGGTAGTAAATGTGTAAACTTGTTTGGCCTTCACCTGCCACAAAAACGTCTCTACATTGGAAAGCCGACAGGGACCACACAACCTAACAATAAGTAATAAGTAACAACAGCAATTGCTGATTTTCATCAGAAGTTCCGCCCATCAAGGCTCACTCACGCAAATTATGTTGGCTTACCGGCTACCAGGGCTGACTCAGTTCATTAACAAGAGCACACACGCGGGGCTCAAATACAAAAAGCACAGTTCTACTCAATACAAGTTCGCCCCTCTCCGGCATACTTCTGGACAACTTTGCTTATACTCAACAACCTGCAACCAGTAAAAGCAACTGCAACATAAATGAACATCAATAACTTGATCCCAGCAGGCTCGCCACACCTTGCCACGACTTGTCCTGTGAGATCGCTTGCTATGGTTTGCCCTGCCTGCTGTGGACTCGCTCTGCTCCTGCTACTTTCTGCTGGAACTGACCGAGTGGAGCGTCCCGTGGCAGCTGCATCCTGCATCCCAATGAAGTAAGAAACTGCGAGTAACGATGCAAAGCGCAACATGAAACGCACCCGCATCCCAGTGCGACATTTGGCAGAACTTACGAAATTAATTCAGTCGGGCAGAAAAAAACATTTGCTGTGAGCTCCATGCTGACATGTTCAACCATGGTACGGGCTTTTCAATCCCTTTCAATGACATGCATGCATGCAAGCACTCCTCCTCATATGCGTCCGCTGCGTCGTCGCTTGCGTTGGGCCACGCTGCGTCGCCGAAGCCATCTGCGGCATAGCTTTCGGCCTCACAGGAACGCCAGCAACAGTTGGACAATGCAACAGGTGACATGACAACAACGGGACTGCTGAGTGTACTGGCCATTACGCTGGCCACAAAAAAACATAACCTTTCTTGGCCTTGCGTAACATAATGACAACACCAGCCACACAAAAGAATCTCACAGGTAAAACAACAAGCAATGTGAACTTTAAATGCATATCTTTTGTCAGGAGCTCTGCGCATCAAGGCTCACTCGCGTAAACGTGCTGCCATGAACAGTGCTGCTGCCACTGACTGCCGATACTCATTCCGGTAATTACCCCAAGCACACACACACACACACGCACAGCTCAGGTAAGACAGCACAACTGTACTCAGTACAAATTCCCCCGCCCCCCCAAGACACTTCTGCTCAACTGTTTTTTTCACCCAAGCAAGTGGCACGCAGCACCACCGGTGAGATGGCTTGCCATGCTTTGCTCCTGCCTGCTGTTGACTCGCTCTGCTCCCGCTGCATTCTGCTGGAACCGACCAAGTGGAGCACTCCGTCGCAGCTGCATCCTTCAACCCAAGCAATTGAGCAACAGCTGGCAACGATTCAAAACAACAAACCCGCAAAGTGCATCACGACTAAGTCGCCAAGAAATGAACATTCCCTGCTAGCTCCATGCTAACATATTCAACGCTGAGGCCCTTTCAATCCCTTGCAAAGGTCATGCGCATACGAAAGCAGTCCTCATATCCGTCAGCTGCATTGTCGCTTGCATTGGGCCACGCTTCGTCCCCAAAGCCATCTGCGGCATAGCTTTCGGCCTCACAGGAACGCCAGCAACAGTTGGACAATGCAACAGGTGACATGACAACAACGCGCTTAATGTACTGGCCAGGAATTTCAGCTTTGGCCTAGACTGAAGCCAAAGCAAGCTTTTGCACCCTAAACACTCAAAAGAGCAAGAAGCCCCAAACGCGCGCCAGAGGCGGCGCCCCGAACAAGAAGTGGTGGATTAATTGTTTAATCCCTTCGCAGTTCAGGGGGTGGTTTACAAACTCAGTGATCCGCTTTCAGGCGCACCCTTTTTCGATGCGCTTGAGCCAAATGGTGTTTGCCATTCAGCAACCTGTCAAAGATGTACATTCATGCAACAACCCTACACCCCTACCAAGTGGGCCTCAAGAACCTCATGCCAAGTGGAGTACACACGTAGGCAATTTACCATGCCTATGGGCTCAAAGGGGTCCATAATTGTTGACTCCTCCCTCGCCGTGTGCACAAAGGCAGGGTACAAGTACAGAGGCAGCTCCCGGCTCATAAGGTTTTAAAGAATGAAGGATCTGATGAAACTCTTGGTACACATAGCAATCTTTTCGGGCCTCAAGGCGTGATCCCACTTGTGTGGTGGCAGGGCCTTGGTAAAGATATCGGCAGCTTGGAAATCGGTCTTTACATATTCAAGCTCCACACCTGTGTCTTCTTGTAACTGTTCTGCAAGGGATGCTAAGTTGACCTTATGCGTCCTAGAAATTGCTCGCAATTTAGGAGAGTGTCCCTTCCTTGCCACAAGAATGGTAGCTTGATTATCTTCGTGGATCTTTAGGGTCATTGGGCGACCCAATAGACGGTCCCACAGACTAAGTGTTGGAAGCCCTTCCTGATAAAGGGAGAAAGCTAGCGACACAATTTCCGCTTCTGTAGTGGAACGTGAAACGGACGTCTGGCGTTTGCTGATCCATGCCAATGGAAAGTGGGAGTTCGGGCCTTTCAGGGCGAGAAACCCCCCTGATGTAGACTTAGCCCCTTCCTCTCCAGCAAAATCAGCATCGACGTAGAGCGCAAGATGCAGCTCACTGGGATCGTCTTGAACTGTGCCCACCAACCTATGCGTTGTGGTCGTGTTAATATAAGCTATTAGCCTAGCCAATTGCCTATCATTATTACGCGACCATTTTTGAACGCATGTTGCAAGATCCCCGATGGGCTTGATTATGTCTGGGCGTGCGAGACGTCCTGACCACAAGGCCTTCATTAAGATCTTACAAGCGGCTGAGCTCAATTCACCTGTTTCGGCATCATCATGTGGTGGCAAAGACCCTTCTGGACAGAATGGAGTCAGTGCCTTGCGGAGCTTACTAATCGGCTGACCTGAAATGGAGACACACAAATCTACAGTTTGTTTGGCGTAGTCAACCATATCAAATGCCATTGCATTGGACAGCGCGCCTAGGGCTGCGCTCTCTGCAGGATTAGGCTCGCACTTTGAGGCATTTATGATGACATGATTTCTACCGAGAACACGGTAAATCGGTTCTGGTGGCTCAATGTCAACAAAGGATGTCAGCTTTTCCCAAAATGGGTCGTGCTGTTCATCCGGCCCCGAAAGTGTCAAGTCGTCAACGTATGTGGACAGCATCAATCCGGTAGAGGGAAAGAACAAGTTACCCGGAAATTCTTGAATTTCCTCGCCAGTCTGCTCCTTCAAGATTTTCTTGAAGTGCTGCTCCCAGAGCCCTCCGGCATCTGGGTGCCCATAGAGTGCTTTTATTAAAAGAACTACTGGCTTAATAAACTTTTCTCTCCACCACTTCGGTCGAAGTTCCGGTGGTAATGAGATCCACGTTTGGTGCTGCGACCTGAGTAAGGCTTGAATATATGCCTTTACGGCATCGGCTGCTGTAGTCTTATGGCCCGGTAACGAGCCATATGCTAGGCAATTATTCAAGCCCTGCACGGACGTTGGATTGGCGCCGAGTTCTTGGTAAACGGCCGCCGCTCCATATTCGTCGCGTGCGCAGTCACCTCGGTAGACTATGCGACCCTTCATTTTCTGGAGATGCTTAGCTAACTCGAAGAATTTGATGGATGCAATAGTCATTAATTGACCAAAGTGAACTTTTGTGCCTGTCCGTCGCGCCTCGGCAGCGACCTCTGCTTGTTCCCTCACAGTGCTGAGATCCCATACCCCTTTATCCCCTAAACCGTCTGCCTCTTCTTTTACGGCTTGCAATGCCTCAGGAGAGGCGAGCATTTCGGCACGTGAAAGAAGTTTTGTGACCGTGGCGGCGATATTAGGAGACGTCCTCTCCTTTAGAATTCCGTGAATTTCCCTAACAAGATTTTCCAAGTCAAAGAGTTCTTCAAAGAATTTTCGTGACGTGGGATCTGACTCAACAACTGATGCGAGAGCTCCGACACCCGAAAGTGCGGAGACATGCTTTAAGGACTGTTCCTTCTCACGACGCTCCTCTTGCACGGTGACAACCTGGGTTGGCATTGCAGGGGCGCGCGGGGCTGCCACATGAGGATACAAAGCACTTGCAATGATCTTGCACATTTCCTCTGGGTAAAAGGCAGTGCGTGCGGTGTTGCTTCCTGCGGCCTGTGCATGCTTAAAGGAGTGTTGGTGAGGGCAAGTCCTACCTTGAAACCCATCATGAAGTTCCTTAGATGTGGTCATAAGCCGCCACGGCTTCTTGATGGGAGTCCCTTCTTTGTCGGTTAACCCGACGGCACATCCATGGAAAGTCACTGAGTGGAAGACGCGTGCTTTTCAAAGAATGCTTTCACGTCTGGGCGCTCCCACCCCTCGCAGTCGCGAGGCCACTCGAAAGTGACATGACCTTCCTGCTCCATTACTACTTCGGCGTGCTTCGTGAACCTCGCGAACAATGCCTTCGACTTCTCGACCTGTGCTTGGAGATATTTCTTATACTTATTACCATACTTATGGACATTTAGCCTTTGCCATGGCGAACCAGATGTGCATGGAATGGCTGCCCACATGTTAGGCTTTAAACATGACTTCAACTGAGCAGTCAGTTGAGCATCCCCTTCATCGGTTTCGAGATCGATGTGTTCTTTAGCCAGCCTTACGTGAGGAATGCCTAATGCTTGATTCACTGCTCCCATTGTGGAGTCTGTTGAACATGCGTATTCAAACATTACTGGCACAGGATCTTCCCGCGCGATACGCTTGCGGGCTCTCTTATTCCCTACGGAAAACTTTTTGCGTGGTTCCTTTTTGGAACATGGCATACCGAACACTGGCAGAGTCCGAGCCTCCCTCTTGGTGAAGGAGTCGGCTACATGGCACGTGAGTGACGTGGAGGTTGCGGTTGTTGTCGTTACCGCTGCACCAGTTGTAGTTGCAGTTTCGGCTGGGGGAGGAATCCCCCCTGGCCGTGCCGGAGCGGGCCTGCCGCGAAGAGCGTCATCAAGCTCTTCGGATGCCCTCAGAGCGCTTTCAAGCTCATCGGGATCGGACAGATCAGCCTTTTCAAGGCGTGACGCCTCAAGCGCCCTTTTGAGATCCTCATCCTCGTCTTGATCAAGGCGTTGCATCTCGGACGCATGAACCTCGTCGAGCTGTTCATCAGTCTTTTTATAACGAAGTGCATCTTCTGTCTCGGCAGCGGCCGCACGCTTTGCGCGTTCTTCGGCTTTCTCGGTTTCGACAAGAGTTGCGAACCTTTTGCGACACTCGGGAGTGTGGTACCTGGTCCTACCCTTACACCCTTTGCAGCCGGGCGTTTCAGAGAAACGTATGCGATCGGTTGTGATGTATACACTACGCTGTTTGCCAGATGAAGGAGTTGGCGGAGCTGCTGACTCACTAAATGGCACTTCTCTGAGAACGACTTCCGGAAGCTCTTCTGCTTCGCCTCCCGCCCGCAGCGCCCTATAGGCTGCTGCCGCAACTGGGAAACAGGGCTCACCTTCGTCTACAAAGAGCTCTGCCTCGGGAACGTCGTGCACTACGATCGCTCTACGCGTCCTAAACTCTTGGTAATCGAGTACACGGACGACGTGACGGTATCGGAGACCGGCATCAATCCTCCAACCGAGGAACAAAGCTGGCGCTAGGTTCGGCTCGAGGGTGCGTTTGTTGATGCTCTTTTTCCGATAGTAGACAAGCTGTCCGAAGCAATGTCTAACCCCGTCAAATTTCGAATTTGTCAAGGCCTCCCATTGAGTTTTGGTCTTGTCGAAAGTTGACGGCCGATCGAACGACATAGAGAGACAAGAGAAA